AGAATAGAATAGAATAGAATAGAATAGAATAGAATAGAATAGAATAGCAATGAATAAAATAGAATAGAGGTAGGAAACCCTACACCATTTCAGACAAATGGCTGTCCAGTATCTTCTTAAAAACTTCCCGTATTGGAGCATTTACAACTTCTGGAGGCAAGTTGTTCCACTGGTTAATTGTTCTATGTTTGATGGTATCTTCATAGGATTTCGGCCATTCCAACCAAAGCTGCCTTTTGGAATTGACTGAAGGTGATTTTGTCAATTCCAATGGTGCTGTTCAAGTGGTGCTCCAGTTGTTTGGGGAATTGCACCCAAAGTGCCTATGACTATTGATACCATCTCCTTGATCTTTCTCCAAGACATCTCCAACTTGATAGTCATCCAGACTGGGGTTTATCAAATCATGGATTATTCAAGCCTCAGTGGGATCTCATACACTCTGACCTGATGAAAAAGCAAATTTTGATCAGGCAGAAAGCATTTATTTGCAAAATTTATGAAGCATTTTACCCCAGGGACTGCCGATGATGTACAGAATCCAGAATTATCATATTTAAATAATCATAAGCAATAATAAATGGTAATGAAATGATTTTCTTCTAGCTGCTTAATCCGCCAAAGAGTTGAGGAATTCTCTGAGATTCTTGTTTGTTCATATTTACCCATTTTTCTTCTGGGAGAACATCTTAACTCCCAAGTCTTAGTAAAAACTGTGAAGGAAGCTTGTAGTTATATTTTTATACTACTAATCCTGTTTTTCCTGAGGTGTCCTGACCCAGGCTTCATCAAATCACAAAGCAGACTCCTTGTCCTGACAAAACCCTTTTTTATTAGACTAATTTGAATTCCTTTCATTCACATCCAGCAAAGTCCCGGCAAACAGTCTTTCAAGAGTGAATTGCAACCACTGACCTTATCAGGCTTGGAGAGTTGCCAGGCCGATAGCTTCCAAGCGCAAGGCTGTACCAGAAAGTACTTGGCAAGGAGTCTCCCAAGAGTCACAAACAAATCTTCACACTAATTAAACGAACAAATTGTCTCTTGCAAACCCCACTCCTCTTTATTCCCTATGGGAGGGGCCATTCACCATCCACCTGTGCCCTCCCGAGTCAACCCTTTCTTAGCTGTCCCCTTCTTCTGGCAGCTCTGTGCATGTGCACGCTGGGAACAGGCTCCAGCGGTTCTTCTGCCTCACTGATGTCCAACTCTGAAGGCAGCTGATAACTGTGAGACAGCCCTGGCCCCATCTCTGCCTCCGAGGCAGAGCCCTCGACAGAGCCTTCCACAGACTCAAGGACTGGCCCAGGTTCCTCCTCAACCTCCTCACTGTCCGAGTCTGCCATCAGCTCCGCTGGCTTCTGGCGGGCCACAACATGAGGAAAAAAATCAAATGTTTCTACTTTTGGTTGTTTCCCTTTCACCTCTTAGGTTGTGGTACAAGGTATACCGGAGGTGTCTCGTGCTGTCATTCATATTGACGAACAGAGCGGAAAGGAAAAGTACAAATTATTGGTGGAAGGTGACAACTTGAGAGCTGTCATGGCCACCCATGGGGTAAAAGGAACCAGAACGACATCGAACAACACTTATGAGGTAACACAAAACAAAGAGGGGATAAATTGGTGGAACATAGCAGCTAAGAAAGAGACCCTAAGCATGCAACAGTATTGCTTGGTTTAGATCTTGCTTCTTCCATGAACTGGCTCAGGTGTACTAAAGTGAGGCCTTTATTTAAGCTTGGGGCCTTGTCCACAATATAGGCCTAATATGTGTTTTGTGGGGTCAGTGTAAGGATGATAGTAAGTCCATACTGTGAATGATTCTGGACATAGTGATGGGGAAAAAAGACTTCACTCTTATTAGGTGGATGGATGGATGCATGGATGGAGATAGATAGATAGGTAGGTAGGTAGGTAGATAGATAGATAGATAGATAGATAGATAGATAGATAGATAGATAG